CACACCCTTTAACCCACCATGCCCTTATAAGGAAACAAGCCCCGCCCACACCCTTTAACCCACCATGCCCTTATAAGGAAACAAGCCCCGCCCACACCCTTTAACCCGCCATGCCCTTATAAGGAAACAAGCCCCGCCCACACCCTTTAACCCGCCATGCCCTTATAAGGAAACAAGCTCCGCCCACACCCTTTAACCCGCCATGCCCTTATAAGGAAACAAGCCCCGCCCACACCCTTTGAACCGCCATGCCCTTATAAGGAAACAAGCCCCGCCCACACCCTTTGAACCGCCATGCCCTTATAAGGAAACAAGCCCCGCCCACATTCTTTAAACTGCCATGCCCTTATAAGGAAAGAAGCCCCGCCCACACCCTTTGAACCGCCATGCCCTTATAAGGAGATGCCGTCTTCTTGGTTCTTTCGGTAAAGTCATCACGTAGAAGGGAAGTAATAAAATAATAAAAATAAAACATAATAAAATTATTCTCACGACGTTTCGGCCACAACGCAAGCGGCCGTCCTCAGGTGAAGAAACAGGTCTGTCGGGAAGACAGCGTCTGAATGACACACCCCAGGCTTGGAGCGACTATTTAAGCTGGGTTGGAAGGGGGGAAGGGCGCCTTGACAAAAGAATTTGCATATCAAGAGGAATTTAGCATATTTATGGGAAATGCAGATATGTGATTAGTACTACTTGTGGAATGCGTAGGAGGTGGGAGGAGAGTTTAAAGTAATTATGCCTGTGCATTATGCAGGATTAGCAGCATCTAAGGGAGGGGATAGGGGTAGCATTAATGAAGTGAAGGAATGTTAATAGTGTAATGCGGGCGTAAACGGCCTCGCGGATGTGACGTCACGGGGGGAGGAGTTAGGTCACGTGGGAGAGAGGGATCAAGTCTTAAGGGGGAGAAACCGGAAGAGCAGGGAGAGAGTTGGAGAGAAATATAGAGTGAGGCCACGCAGGGTGGAGGTTGGAGGGTGGCGAGATCGCCACACACCCAGGATAAGTCTCGGCACCGTCGGCCAGCGGTGACCGAGCACGGAGGAACGGGGAGCCGGTTGAGGCTGCAGTGAGGGCAGCCGGAGGCCTGCACGAGGAGATCAGCAGCGGAGCTGCATCAGAGTGGAGTGAGAGGCTACGGGAGCGACGGCAGCATCAGGCTGCCAAGCGGGGGAGTCTCGGAGAGAGAGCCGTGTGGGCAAGAATAAAGAACCCGAATAAAGGACAACGAAGACAGACACAGTGGTCGAGTCCTTTATTACACTGGTGTCAGAAGTGAAACGGCATATCAAAACAACTGAGAAAAAAGAATATTCCTGCGCCATCATCAGCTACATCATCCGACGACGACGACCTTCCTAAGGCGGTGGACCTGCCTGCGATGGAGGAGAACATCCGTGCTGGAACGAGTGCGGGTCCGGGAGTCCAAGATTTTGCCGCGTCGGGGGACTCGTCTGCACCGGAGGACGCGGACTTGCGATGGGGACAGATGGCGGCACAGCTGGAGACACTGAAAACCGTGCTGGCGCAATTGTGTGAGCTCGTCACGCCGAGGACGGCGCTGGGGAGAGCCGATGGTGGTCCGCGGGCCGCCGCCTTGCCTTCGCTGTCGGCGCCATCGGCCACGCGGCACGAAGACGCCATCTTGGGCGTGGCAGGAGAAGAACGGCGGGAAGCTGCCATTTTGCGCTCTCCGCGGCGGGAGGCCGCCATCTTGAACACGTTGCGATGCGACGCCATTTTGAATATGCCGCCTGATGAGTCATCGGCTGAGGACGGCGCGCCAAGGAGTCACAGTTGTCATCTTACAACTGTTAAGGAATTCTCCATCGGTGGCGATTGGAGTGCTTTCGCCTGCAGATTTTTGGCGGCGGTACGCTCTGCAAGGTGGACTGACGCTGAGGCATTGGAGGTTCTGCCGACTCTTCTCGATGACGAGTCGGTGAGATTCTTTCGTTCTATAAAGGCCGAGAAGAAGAAAACATTGAGAGGAGTTTTCGACGAGATGGCAGATGCATACGAGCCACCGGATGACGCTCATCGCCGGTTTGTTCAACGACAGCGAGCACCCGAGGAATCGCCAGTGGCATACAGGGGTGCGGTATTGGAGTTGGCTATGGCCGCATACCCGGAGACGGAGCCTGACCTGCTCGAACCTCTCATCTTGGGTAAGATGCTCGAGCTGTCCCGGGATTTGGGGATTCCTATGCCGGTGTGTGGCCACGAAAAGCTGACATCCCGGGCGGCCGCTAAGTGTCTGGATTCCCAGTTCAACCTGCGCCGTTGGAGGCAAGTCACGGCGTGGACGGGGGGGCCCATCGTCGAAGGAGGTGCCGTGGGCTGGGATCCCAAAAAGGCGGTGTACGTGCCTGATGGGAGGGGGGCCCGCAGGAGCTGACAGCCGCCTCTGCTCCGTGGTCGGGCCGCAGTGGGCCGGGGCCGCGAGCTGCGCCGCCGACGCGGGCATGTCGGGACGGGGGGCCTGCGGCGCGGCGCAACGACATTGACTGCTTCCGCTGCGGGTGTAAGGGCCATTACGCCAGGGACTGCTGGGCCCGTGTCCCAGGTCCACCCCAGCAGGAGGCCTCGTCAACGGACGCGCCGCGGAAGGATCCTCCAGGACAGGCAAGTCGGTGCGCACCAGACACCCGGCAAGGCTTGACACCTCACTCATCACCGTTGTCGTGCGATCCGGGTGTTGTTAACAACGGGAGGCCATCGACTGGGCCATGTCGCTCGGTAACGCAGTGGCGTAAATTGGCACGGCGGGTCGTCGCGGCCGCTACGGGTTCGTCCACTGTACTTGGTTCTATACAAGGGGTGGATGTGCGTATTTTGGTGGATTCCGGAGCGTCCGCGACCATTATATCGGATGTAATTTTCCATCTGTTGGGCATCCCACCAGAGGCCGTGCATCCGGTTTACGGGTCGTGCGTCGCGACGAACGGGGGTAGCATGGGCATTGTGAGCCAGGTGGACGCTAAGATATCTATCGGGGGAGTGTCGGCCTCGGGAATTGTGTTAATTTCGAGGTCTCTGGCAGTCCCTTGTTTGTTGGGAACCGATTTTCTGGCCAAGATGCCCATTCTGATTAGAATTAATGATAACTGCATTGAATTGCCAGGTGGCCGTAAGATTTCGTTTCTGCCGTCGCCCTGGGGGCGACCTGTTCCGGTCACCCAGGTGCAGGCGCTGTCCGAGGTATCTGTTGACATTCCACCTGGCTCACAGATGCTTATCCCCTTGCGATATCGGAAGCCTGTGCCAGGTCGGCAAGGTGCAATTGGGGTTTTGTTGTCGCCGTCCGCCACCATAACGGGCGGATCGGCGCTGGTTGGGGCGCAGACTATTGTCCGGCCGGACCAGCAGCCATTTTTGCAGGTGCTTAATGCGAGTACCGAAAATGTATGTGTTCCGGCTGGTATGGTTGTGGCACATGCCACTACGCGTTTACGGCACAGGATTATCTGGGCAACCACGGCGTGGTTGCTGGGGTTTCAGAGCCGGGAGCTGCGGATAATCGTTGGATCGCCGAATTGTGTGGGGAAAATCCTTCCCTTTCCGGGGAACAACGTTGTGCGATTCGTAAATTACTATTGAGTTATTCGGATGTGTTTAGCTCCGACGATTTGGATTTGGGACGCACCTCATTGCTTCACCATCATATTGACACAGGGGACGCTGCCCCTATTCGGTTAAACTCACATCGGATGAGTCCGGCCGAGCGAGAATACGTTCGAGGGGCAGTGGATGACATGTTGGCTGCGGACATAATATCTCCATCTAACAGCCCATGGGGCGCGCCTGTTGTTTTGGTTAAGAAGAAGGACGGCAAGTTGCGATTTTGTGTAGATTTCCGGAAATTAAATAAGATATCTGTGGCAGATGCGTATCCCCTGCCGCGCATGGACGACTCCCTCGATGCCTTGTCGGGGGCGAAGTTCTTTTCTACGCTAGATCTCTCTTCGGGATTCTGGCAGCTTCCCCTTGACGAACCCTCGCGGGAGAAAACTGCTTTCCGTACGCCTCGGGTTATTCCAATTCAATTGCCTTCCGATGGGGTTGAATGCTGCCCCTGCCACATTCCAAAGGTTGATGGAGCTGGTATTAACGGGGTTGCAGTGGGAGACATGTCTGATATATTTAGACGATATTATCGTCTTCAGCCGCACATTTGATGAACATTTACTGCGGTTAGAGGCTGTGTTCGCCAGGATGCGTTCCGCTAATTTGAAATTTAAGCCTAAGAAATGTCACCTACTGCAACGGTCCGTGCGTTACTTGGGGCATATCGTAAGTGCAGACGGGGTGGCCACGGATCCGGACAAAACAGCGTGCGTCCGTGACTGGCCAACCCCGGCCACGGTAGGGGATGTGCGTCGGTTTTTGGGGTTTGCCTCATATTATCGGAGATTTGTTCCGAATTTTGCGACGATCGCGAGGCCCTTGCACCTCCTTACGGGTAAAGGACGCAAATTTGGTTGGGGACCGCGGGAAGAGGTGGCTTTTCAGGGCCTGCGCGATCTATTGGCTACGGCGCTGACGTTGGACTATCCGGATTTTGACCATCCCTTCATTCTGGATACGGACGCGAGTGACACGGGCATTGGGGCAGTGTTGTCTCAGTCCAAAGGGGGTGTGGAGCGCGTGGTGGCGTACGGTAGCCGGGTTTTGTCTCCTGAAGAAACCCGCTACTGCGTCACTCGCAGGGAACTTTTGGCTGTTGTTTTTTTTCTCCGCCAATTTCGACCGTATCTCTACGGTCGTTCGTTTATTGTGCGCACTGATCATGCGGCCTTGCAGTATGCTCTTAAGATGGACCAACCATCCGGCCAGTTGGCGCGTTGGTTGGACACACTGCAAGAATTTTCCTTCCAAATTCACCATCGGAAGGGGGTGCGTCACGCGAATGCGGACGCGCTTTCTAGGTTGCCGCAGCGATCCCCTTGCGCGTGTGCGTCTGGGACGCATAGGTGTGCGCCGATTCAGCCTCCCCCTCAGCCGGTTGCGTTGGCCGTCGAGGTGCCTGATGCTCCAATGGAGCCGGGACCAGCTGATGGGGTTTTGAATCTTCCAAGGACTGTGTGGATACGGGAACAAATGTTGGACGACTCATTGGTGTCCTTACGGAAGCGGCCTGCGAAGGAGGGTGGGGGTCCGGGTACGGGCGGTGGGCCGGAAACCGCTCTCCGCGATGGTCTGCTCATGTGGAGGGAGGGATTACAGGAACGCTGGCGTCTGGTTGTACCGGCGTCCTTGCGGTACGAGTTGATTAGGACTCTGCATTGCGACATGCTCTTACATCTGGGGGTGCAGAAAACCCTACTGACGTTGCAGCGAAATTACTTTTAGCACGGCATGGCGACAGATGTCGTCGGGCACGTTCGCGCGTGTCCCGATTGTGCCCGGCGAAAACCACCTAGACATCCATATGTGCCGCCGATACAGTCTATTCAGGTGTCTCGAGTTAATGAATTGGTGGCGTTAGACATTTTGGGACCCTTCCCGCCATCCGCGAAGGGTAATAAATACTTGCTGGTTGGGGTGGAGTACCTCTCCCGCTGGCCGATGGCCTGGCCGTTGCCCGACCAGTCGGCGGCGTCTATTACAGACGCCTTTCTATTTTGGTACGTTATGGACAAGGGTGCGCCGGAGAGGCTCCTCACAGATAAAGGCCTAAATTTTTCTTCTAAATTGTTGGGGGAAGTGTGTGCGGCTCTTGGGACTAAGAAAATACGGACATCTCCCTACCACCCGCAAACGGATGGTATGGTCGAACGGCTTAATCGGACTTTGTCCGCCATGTTGTGCCACACGGTGAGTGAACAACAATCTGATTGGGATTTGCATATCCCTGGGGTACTTTCGGTGTACCGGATGACGCCGCATGCGGCTACAGGATATTCACCGTTTTTCCTTATGTACGGTCGTGAAAACGTGCCGCCGATGGATGTGCAGTTGGGAACTGGAGTGAGGAGACCTGCTAAGCCTCTTCCTGATTACATTCAGGACACCGTTCGCCATGTTACTGAGGCGCGGGAGGGGGCCCGCATGGCTACGGCCAAAGCCCAGGCCCGGAACGAGCGGTGTGCTCGACGCTCGAAAGGGGAGTGCCCCTGGAAGGTTGGGGACCTGGCCTGGCTCCATTGCCCACAGGTGCGGCCAGGTACCTCTCCTAAATTACACAAACCATGGCAAGGGCCGGTTCGCCTCATCGAGGTTCCCAACCCACAGTCGGCGCGTGTTCGGGTTGGATCTCGGCGTTGGTTCGTTCACACGTCGCGCTTGAAGCCATATGTGGCCCCTCTACCTGATGCGTCATCTCCTGAGGTTGCCTTGCCGGGGTCTGTTGCTGCCGACTCACCCTTGCCTGTGCCTGTTGATCTTGCAAGAGCGCCTGTCGTGCCTGTTACAGACAGGCCGGCCGTGACACCGCAGGGGACGAGGGGCTCTGCTCGGGGGGTGCCTGCCATGGCTGCGGGAACTCCGAGCCCCGCGGCCCTTCCGACCCCGCTGCGGACACGAGTGCGGGACACCTCCGACGCTGAGCCTTCGGGGATACGGGACCGGGACGTTGGCGGGCCTCCAATAGCGACAGGAGGACTTCATCCTGTCGCTCCTAAAACCCCGTCACGTTCCCGGTCTGCGGGAGAGCCGCCGACCGTCCGGGACGGGCCGGCGACCCGCACACGCTCGAAATCCCTTATATTTCATAGAATTTTATTGTTGTGTTCTTGGTCTTACTGTTATATTTATTGTATGCTTCGTTGTCCTTCAATGTGTCTCGGCCGTGTTCGCTCGCATTACTTGTTGTCGTTATTGTTCAGCCGAGGTCAGCTGGCTTTTTCTCTACGGGGGAGGGTGGTGTAATGCGGGCGTAAACTGCCTCGCGGATGTGACGTCACGGGGGGAGGAGTTAGGTCACGTGGGAGAGAGGGATCAAGTCTTAAGGGGGAGAAACCAGAAGAGCAGGGAGAGAGTTGGAGAGAAATATAGAGTGAGGCCACGCAGGGCGGAGGTTGGAGGGTGGCGAGATCGCCACACACCCAGGATAAGTCTCGGCACCGTCGGCCAGCGGTGACCGAGCACGGAGGAACGGGGAGCCAGTTGAGGCTGCAGTGAGGGCAGCCGGAGGCCTGCACGAGGAGATCAGCAGCGGAGCTGCATCAGAGTGGAGTGAGAGGCTACGGGAGCGACGGCAGCATCGGGCTGCCAAGCGGGGGAGTCTCGGAGAGCCGTGTGGGTAAGAATAAAGAACCCGAATAAAGGACAACGAAGACAGACACAGTGGTCGAGTCCTTTATTACAATAGTATGTAGTTGCAGTAACTAAACTACCACGTAAACAACTAAAGTATAAACTACATAGTATAATCAGTATGCTAAATATACTCTCCAATAAGCTGATCTACTAACAGTAATACATTACAATTCTATGTCGCAAAAAATATAATATGTGTGCAGTTATGATAATTAGGCTTAGCTTCGTTATCCAGAGTTGTATCAATCGGGATAAAACGATTATCTTTGATTAAACATTTATTGATGATCTTAGTGTGTTTATGTTATGTTAGGTCTCCAAATTCATATCTCAACGCGGGATACAGTTCTTATAAATAAGAGTTTTGCATGGACTTGGAAAGAAACACTCAAACGCTTTTGTGAAGCAATTTTAATTCTAAACAAAAATATGACACTCTAATATGCAAAGGCGAAAGCATACGTCAATAGATTCATGAGCAAGATTATGCAATTAACGAAAATGAATGACTAAAACACTTCTTATTCATGTAACTTGACGACAGCAACTGCTTTGCACAACCAGTTGATATTGAACGCACCACCTTGAAATGGCAACCCTTTTCGAAACACAAAGATAACCTTTTGAAAGGTTATTGATAGACAGCCAGTTTTGTTTTACCAGGTTTAGTTTTTTCTTTTCTCACACTTTTGTTATGTAGGCTAGGCGTAGTCACAAACCACACCTCTCCATAACAAAGGCTCAGTCTTTTGTTATGCAGTCTATTCTTAGTCTTAAGCCTCACCTTACCATGTTAATAAAAAAGTGTGCCGTACTTGGCCCTTCCCCTCTTCAACCATTATATATACGGAGTGGTAGCTCTTGTAATCTCTCATTTACGTGATACAGTTGTCGTAGCTGTGACGGTTCCACCTGAAGACGGAAGCTTGTGTTGCCTCCGAAACGTCGTGATTTTTATTTTATTTTACTTTTATTAATTTTTATTTTTTACCTACGTGACTTTACCGAAAAAAACCTAAGAATATGGAACCTTTTGAAAGTCTTCTTCGTGTGCATGTTGCGTGTGCGTTGTATTGTTCCCTTGATAACTATTGTTTTAAGCAGAGGCAGGGTGCTGTGTCGGAGCTTGTGGGGTGGGGGAGGGGTTCCCTCTCGATTTAAAGCTTTCGTGACTGCAGGGATTCATCTTCTTGGTTCTTTCGGTAAAGTCACGTAGAAGGGAAATAATAAAGTAATAAAAATAAAACATAATAAAATAATTCTCACGACGTTTCGGCCACAACGCAAGCAGCCGTCCTCAGGTGAAGACCAGGTCTGACTTTCTGTTCTTCACCTGAGGACGGCTGCTTGCGTTGTGGCCGAAACGTCGTGAGAATGATTTAATTGGATTATATTTATTATTTTATTATTTCCATTCTACGTGACTCTACCGAAAGAACCAAGAAGAGGTTCCCTCTCGCTTGGACGTGGCCGCAGCGAGCCCGTCTCCCGGCTTTCTCTCTCCGCTGCGAGATTGAGCGGCGTTGGCACGACGTTCCTTGAAGAAACTTGGTTGCTTGGTGCTTGATGGCGCCCGGGGCTTGGTGCTGCTCGTGCACTCTCTCTCTCCACTGCTAGATGAGTGGCGTCGGCACGACGCTCGCCGTCGTGGTGCGCGATGATTCCGTCGTCGGATAGCGCGCAGCTCCTTTACCACTGGACGTCTTCTCTGTTCCATTGGAACCTCATTGGCCAGTAAAGATATGATAATTGTTTTTTTACCCTTCTATCTGGAAACAAAACTGACACCTTTTTTACAAGGAGTCATGGTTGCATTGACCACAATACCTGCGGTCGGAATGCAAACAAAAAACACAACTCTGATAATGTATGTGTACTGTCCTTGAAGTTGATTGGTCCACACCCCAGACAGCTTTCCTTAGAGCCTAGTCTCACATGGTGTTGGACCAGATGACGCCTTTTGGCGTCATCATGTGAGACTAGGCTCTAAGGAAAGCTGTCTCGGGTGTGGACCAATCAACTTCAAGGACAGTGCATATATTATGATAGTTGTGTTTTTTGTTTGCATTACGACTGCAGGTATTGTGGTCAATGCAACCATGACTCCTTGTTAAAAAGGTGTCAGTTTTGTTGCCAGATAGAAGGGTAAAAAAACAATTATCGTCTTCCCTGTTCTCAGCGGGTGCTGGTTGATGTGTGTGTGTAGTAAACACACGGCGGATTCGATGGCGCTCTCCTCTTCCTCACGGGTGGCCGATCAGGCTCTTTCCACTGCTCCATTCTCTCTGACGATGCACGATGGCTCTCGCCTCTGCGATGCTCG